TACTTTTTATATCTTCTTACATCTTCATTCATGAGTAATGCAAATAAAATGTTATTAATAAAAATCACAATAAAATTTTTTGGAAATAATAATTATTTTCTTCACGAGTAATGCAAATTTACACTAAATTAGAAGAAAAATGATAAACCATTATTTAGATGGTTAAAGAGATCAAGAAGATGATGCAAAAAGTTTGAATTATTAATTTAATAATTATAAGAAAATCAATTTCAAAGTTTCAGAAAAAGAAACTTCAAAAAATATATTAAATTAAATTAAAAATAATCATTGCAAATCAAATGATTATTAAACTCAAACTATGAAATTAATGTCAAATAATTATTCTTAAATGAATTAAGCTAAAGAACAAAAAAAAATTAAGAAATTTATTATTTCTTAATTTAATTTAATTTAATTTAATATATTTTTCTCAAATCTTGAGCCTTACATTTTTTTGAACACGAATTCAATTTTAATTTGATTAAAATATTATTTTTATTCATTACATTGCAGTAACGCTGCAGTAATTTTATTAAGTTAAGTTAAGAAAAAACAATAACTATGAGTTGAATAATAATAATTGTAAAATTTTAAAATTAATGAAATTATACATATGTATATACATAGATTATATCGTCAATCTTAAAGGATATCGTATTATGGATAGAAACTAAAATAGTGAATTGGATGGACAAAACATTTTAAAATTACCAGCCTTCTAGATGTTCAGCGATTCTGCCGAATAACGAATACAAAATGCAAGCGGCAGTGCTCGTCAGTTTTTCTATTGAAGCGCATAAATTAAAGAACATGGTTTCTTTCTGATGACGAGGCATATACACACACAATATATATATATATAGAGAGAGAGAGAGATAGAGAGAGACAGAGGACATGTATTATAATGTAGGGACGTACAAAATCTTATTGGAAAAAAGAAATAAACAAATGGGGGCTGAAGACTTTTGAACCAGTCTGTGCTGCGGAAAGCGTGAAGTGAGACTCATAATGCTTGCTCTTTAAGGAATGAGCCAATATAAATTGTTCCTGAATTGATTAGAGAAATTGAAGAAGCTCCTCATCTTGGCTTGCCTTTTATTCTTTTGTCGGGTAAATCGTTCCTACTTTTTTTTTTCTCACGTTTCTCTTCTATTTTTGTGGGTTTACTTCATAATATGATTTTATGTCGTTATTATATGTATATATACATATAGCTACTATAAAATTGAAGCTTGGTTTATAATTTACTGGATTCATTAATTGACTGTCTTCTGCAGCTGTGATATAACTAGACTACGTATACAGAAGGTAGTTGCTATAAAATACTGTAGCAGCATCACAATGAGCTTGGAGGATGGGTTGAATGGTGCTATACCTTCACATGAAGCCAGCACATCAAAAGGGCTAGAGGTCACCAAGGATGGGGACAAGGAATCGGAGAAGAGGAAAAGAGATGAGGAGGCTAAGAGGGTTCCATGTTACGAGTTGTTCAGTTTTGCAGATTCGCTTGACATCCTCTTAATGATCATCGGCTCAATAGGTGCCATTGAGAATGGGATCGGTACACCCATTATGACGATACTATTTGGTGATTTGGTTGATTCTTTTGGTCAGAATCAGAGTAACGGTGAAGTGTCGGTGTGGTCTCCAAGGTAATAACACAAATTCTTGGTTTCTTGGATGTGAAGAAATGTCTTTTGAGAGGTTACTTATAGTTTCTTGGTACATATATATATATATATATATGTATATTTATCTTAGGTGGCTTTGAAATTTGTATATCTGGGATTAGGGATTGCTGTGGCAGCCTTTCTTCGTAAGTAATCTCATGCCCTGAAAGTTTTGGTTGATCTGAATTTTGAGAGTTGAGAAAACTGATAATGTTTCTTTCAGAGGTAACTTGTTGGATGGTTACTGGAGAGAGACAGGCTGCTCGAATCAGGGGATTGTATCTAAAAACTATATTAAGACAAGATGTTGCTTTCTTTGATGTTGAGACAAATACAGGAGAGGTTGTAGGGAGAATGTCCGGTGATACTGTCCTCATACAAGATGCCATGGGCGAGAAGGTACTATAATACAATTCAAATAATTAAACTAAACTGAAACTAAATAATTTCTTTGTGTCTGATTGTTCTTAATATGAAATCCTCTTATTAACTTGGTCTTAGCTAATTTTGTGCAGGTTGGAAAATTTCTACAGCTGATATCAACATTCATTGGAGGATTTGTGATAGCATTTATTAAAGGATGGCTTCTTACCCTCGTCATGTTATCTTCTATACCTCTTCTTGTGATGGCTGGTGGAGCCATGGCCCTCATAATTTCGAAGATGGCATCTCGAGGACAAATTGCTTACGCAAATGCAGCCAATGTAGTTGAACAGACAATTGGTTCTATAAGAACGGTATATTACAGAGCGCATGTCAAAAGACTGCGAAGTACTTGATTTACTCGTCAACTTTGTTGGTTTTATTCCTCAAACATGATTCTATTTATTCCTATTCAGGTTGCATCATTTACTGGAGAGAAGCAAGCGATAAACAACTACAACAAGTTTCTTGTTACTTCTTATAAATCAGGTGTTTATGAAGGGTTGGGTGCTGGATTAGGTATTGGAATGGTGATGTTGATATTTTTCTGCAGTTATGCTTTGGCTATATGGTTTGGTGCAAAGATGATTCTGGAGAAAGGATATACTGGGGGTGAAGTCCTTAATGTGATCATCGTTGTGACCACTGGTTCATTGTGAGTTTCATTTTGAAGCAGACAAATATGAATTTCTTTTATTAAATTTTATCGGATATGAAGTTATTATCATTTGCTTCAGGTCTCTTGGACAAGCATCTCCCTGCATTAGTGCATTCGCTGCTGGTCAAGCAGCAGCATATAAAATGTTTGAGACAATTGAAAGAAAACCAGAAATAGATGCTTCTGACATAAAAGGAAAGATATTGGATGATGATATACGAGGCGATATAGAGCTGAAGGATGTATATTTCAGTTACCCAGCTAGACCAGATGAACAAATATTTAATGGTTTCTCTCTTTCCATCCCAAGTGGCACAACTGCAGCTTTGGTTGGGCAAAGTGGAAGTGGGAAGTCTACAGTGATTAGTCTGATAGAGAGATTTTTTGATCCACAAGCTGGTGAAGTTCTAATAGATGGAATCAACCTGAAAGAGTTCCAACTTAAATGGATTAGAAGCAAAATTGGTTTGGTGAGCCAAGAACCTGTGCTCTTTACATTCACTATAAAAGATAACATTGCATACGGGAAGGCTAATGCAACTATTGAAGAGATAAGAACTGCTGCAGAGCTAGCAAATGCTGCTAAGTTTATTGATAAACTACCTCAGGTCAGCTTTCAGTTTCAAATCTAGCTATTTCCAAAGACATTTGTATAAATTTTTTTTTTTTTAAAGCTTTTAATGATATTAATAGGGTCTAGACACAATGGTTGGAGAGCATGGAACTCAGCTCTCTGGTGGACAAAAACAAAGAATTGCGATAGCAAGAGCCATATTGAAAGATCCACGTATTTTGCTTCTAGATGAAGCTACAAGTGCACTTGATGCAGAATCCGAGAGGATAGTTCAGGAAGCATTAGACAGGATTATGGTCAATCGAACAACTCTCATTGTTGCCCATCGCTTGAGCACTGTGAGAAATACTGATATGATTGCTGTCATTCATCGAGGAAAGATGGTTGAAAAAGGTATATCATTGTTATTGTTCAATTTACATGGAGAGCAAATTATATATGAATATTAACTTCTGCCTATATTTTCCATGGTTTAGTACTTTGTCCTATCAATTAGTTGGTCATACAACCTCTTTCTTTTTTGTCAATCAATCAGGTTTAGTACTTTGTCCTATCAATTAGTTGATCATACAACCTCTTTCTTTTTTGTCAATCAATCAGGTTCACATTCGCAACTGCTCAACGATCCTGATGGAGCATACTCTCAACTTATACGTTTACAAGAAATAAATGAAGAATCAGGAAATGCAGCAGATGACCAAAATAGATCAGAATCTTTTAAACAATCAAGTCTGAGAGGGTCGTTGGGACGATCCATTAGTCGAGGATCATCTGGAATAGGAAGCAGCAGTCGCCACTCATTCTCAGTCTCATATGGGGTACCTACAGGATTTAATGTTACCGATACTGTACCAGTAGACCAACATGTCCCTTCAATAGAACAACCTCCAAAGATCTCCATCCGTCGCCTTGCTGCCCTCAATAAGCCAGAGATTCCAGTTCTTCTACTTGGCACAGTAGCTGCAGTAGCCAATGGAGTAATACTTCCTATTTTTGGCATACTAATCTCCAGTGTAATTGAGATATTCTTTAAACCACCTCATGAACTGAGAAAAGATTCAAAATTCTGGTCAATAATTTTTATGGTGCTTGGAATAGCATCACTATTGGCTTATCCGGCGCAAAAATACTTATTGTCCGTAGCAGGCTGTAAACTGATACAACGGATTAGATCAATGTGTTTTGAGAAGGTAGTTCACATGGAGAAAGGTTGGTTTGATGAGATTGAACACTCGAGCG